CCAGTGGGCCGCGGTCCCCGCTTTGAAAAGTTCTGACTTGGAACACAGAGTATGAGGGAAAAGGCATAAGCAGGGCCCGTTTAAAACAATTTTTAAAAATCTGATTTATAAAATATCTTTTCTGAGAAATGACATTCTGACTTGAAAGAACATTAACATCGACTAACATCGAATTCAAACTTTGAGTCACACCATTTGCTTTGTCTCTGTTTTCTCAACTGAACCAGTGTTACTACAGCATGTGCTGAGTATTCACTGTATTCACACTGATGGTGCTGAGGCTGCGAATGTTCACCTGATCTCGTCTCCTAATTTTACTCAACTCCTGATTGATTTCTTCATTGTAGCAACACAAACATGCTGCACAGAAGTGTCAGTGTATGAGTAGCTGATGTAGTTCTCTCTTATTTCATTTGAAACAGTTCCTCTTTGGCTATTAGCCTGCAGGGACAAAGACTTTTGCCCATTTCTTTATGCTCTGTGCTTTATTGATGTCATGACTGACAAGTTTAAACTTCTCTTTTTATATCAAAAGTTGCTGTGTAAGACTGTAAGAGACTTTTGTTTTAAAGTTGATATCCTTTTCTTACTTACTTTCTTATATTCTGTGTTGTTCCTTCCATCTGTTATGCATCTCAGATCATTCTCTCATTAACTCAGACAACAAAATGGATGCAATGTGAAAGTATTCAGAACCCAACAATACCTCCCATCTGTTGTTCAGATGGTTAGATTACATCCTACAAACACCTTGTATTCATTAATTAATTTCATATCAGCTCAGGTGTCAGCCGACATCCTAATTAAACACAAAAAAGTGAACTTTTAAAAATTTCCAAAAGAGCTTTGGTGCATTTTTCCCCCTCCCTATTTTGTGAGCAGGTTGTAAGCAACATTTTTTTTCTTCCCTATGAAGAAACACCTGCTACAAGAAGGGTCTGACTACCACCCACACGATCAAACACATCCTGAATATAAATTCAAGGTTTGCTTTTTAAAACGCCTCACAACATTTCAATGTCTCCTGCAGATAGAAGGAAAGATAATCCACTTGGCTTTTATTACAAATACTTCTCCAGCCGTAATGCTGTGACAGCAAACAGGATTGTCCGGGTTGGAAATGACTTCTGGGGCGAGAAAATTTACTGTTTTTGTCAAACATTTTTGTTCTTCTTGTTGTTTTGTGCAAAATCCAGAAAAAAATACAGTAACATCCTGATGAATCTCAGTGCCATCCGTCATGTCTGCTTTATTAGATTGAATTTGTGACAGTGTGCTGCACAAATGCAATAAAGGTTATATGTAAGCTCTTGCACACAATTAAAATATTCATAACGCAGCCATGATGCAAGAGCAGTTACTGTAATCTCTGCTTTTCTGTGATGTATGTGATGTATCTGTGTTTATTTGTCTGGTTCAGACCCAGAGAGAGGGCAGGGTAGCAGAAGCAAGATGCTTGGGGATTTGGTTATCAATCGTTGCTTGGCAACCACACACCATCTCTCTCGGCCTCTCACCCAGCCCTCCCCCCTCCCCTCATTCGTTCTTTGTCTCTCCCTTGCCACCTATCCATTGCTCTAACTGTACTGCACCGCTGCTCATCGCCGCTCAGTTTCTGCTCAGTTCTCGCGCCTCCTGTCACATCACCGACTCCACATGTTTTTTTTTTTTTTCCATCCACACTTTTCTCACATGGCTGAAAAAAAGCCTGATGCACCATGGGATGGGAAAGGAAAAAGTGAACAGTGAGAATCTGGAGCGGAGGTGCTGAGTGGAGGAACACACTGTAACAGACATGAAACTGAATTGACACCCTTATTCAATCTATTTTACTGCTTTCTTAATAATTTTCAGCAACACCTTCAATAGAATGTGTCAGCTTAGTTACACATCTCATGAGAATCAACCTGTTTTTACTATTCAGTACATCTATTTTCGATTATAGTTTTGTGTGTTGTATACTCACTGTTTATTTTTATTTAAAAAATTTGGGAAAAAAACATTATCAATATGGGTATTTGTTGGAAAACACGCTTCATATATGATGACAGACAATTTCACATTTAAAAAACATAATCTGGCAGAAAATCTAATGATTCTAACCAGACATATGTTTAAAAACACCACTTTTCAAGCATTACCTTTACTACTACTGGTGTTTTTGTTAGAAAATGCAGCCATCTGCAGGTAATGCATGATAACCACAACAAAAATGTGCACATGTAGATGCAGTTTGTGTGCTTCCAGTTATTCAGTATCATTTGCTGTACAGGTAATGAAAACAGATGGATGTCATTCCTTCCACCTTGGGACAAAAGATCAAAAGTTTAAAATCTGGTCAGAGCAAACAACTTGGCTTTCTGCCTCAAAAAGCAACTCAAGTAAAAAACAAACTGTCAGCATGCCATTTTAGATGCTTTTTTGTTAAACTAGATTTGTGTCAGATACAAAATATCCGAACATGTTAATGATAAGTGGAGTACACTAATTTGAGAAAGTAGACCAAACTGCAATTAACAACATGAGGCCAGCTGACCTACGATGTCACATGAGAATGAAAGCAGCAGCCTCTTCTGACAAACTAAGGCTAAAAGGCTGACAACATATGGCCCCAATTAGGATGGACTGAAAATTAAGTAAGAGACACTGGATAGTCAGCCAAGCAAAGACTCACAACACTTGAAAATATACAGAATACGAGAGGATGTACTCTGACATCTGTGACTGGGTAAAATGAGAATACATCCACTCAAAGCTGAGACTGAAAAAGGTTTTTTTTTTTTAAAAAAACGTGGACATAAAACCAATATCCCATGCTGGTAGGATCTGAGAGTTGAAAAAAAAATAATAACCAAAGACCATTATGATGGTCACATGGAGATCTGAGGCAGTTTTATATTGGAAGAGCTGAACTGGATAAGATCTTAGCATCATTCAAACCTGTTGAGATATGTTATTAACGCCTAGCAGGACAGATGAGCCAGCTGTTGGAGTATGGGATGTGCCCAAAGGAAAGACAGGCATAATCATGAAGCATCCTTTGCATCATCTCTGCACTACACAGAGTTTTTTCAATCCTACAAAACATCATAGGTATAGAGAGGAAACTAAATGGAAAGTCCAATGCATGAGGGCTCAGAAGGAAACCAGAACCATCGTCTAAGAATGCAGCAGCTTAAACAACAGACTTTACTTTAGAAAAAAAAACTGTTGCTACTTTAACCACATTATAATGGTGGTTCTTAAAGATAGAACACGCTAAAAGTATATTTACGCAATGGAAACTTTCCTCTGCAATTATGAGCCTTAATTAAATGTTTGGATCAATGCTGCCACCTTGTGGTCATGTCTTCAAATTACAGCTAAATAAAAAAACTCAACAAAGCCCAGTTTTGGATATGCAATATAGCTCTTAATATTTATTCTTTTGATTCAAATGAAACTTCAATATTTTTACAGCACAATTTGCATATCTCAACACATCCTGTGTACAATCACAAAAACCATAACATCGTATGCTCTGTTTTTACACGGAGTGAAAAACGAGTCAATTGTAGAAGCATTTCTCTTTACTCTTAGCATACAGATAAATCTATACATATTCTCTCTCTTTTTAAACATAATCTGTGGGCAAAAATATACAGACAAAACATCAACAAAACATGCAACATTCAGAACAAAAACTTTTAGACAACTACTGAAGTTACTTTTTTTTTCTTCTTATGAGTTGTTTCTGCAGGTTAGAAGACATAATTGCACAAACAGTCAATGGTTGACAGCACGTTTTGATAAAACTCCCCTTGTACAACTATTGACACCCATTGGCTGTACAGTTATAAGTCTTTTGTGATTTTTTATTTTCTTTTTTAAACACTCACATGCTCAAACCTCGGACAATATAAATATTCAATCATTGTAGAAAATAAACACTTTATGTACACGTGTCAGACAACTTGAGTCACATTCACACCCCTCAGTACGACAACAAATGAATGGTTTCACGATCACAGGCAACAGCTGATCAGAACAAACAGTTTTTAGTTTGAAGTAAGTCTAATGAAACATGAGAGGTCAAACAGTCATGACTGAGCAATAAGATGTCTTACTTACTGCACTGAGTGCACAGACTGAGAAGTACACTAGAGCGAGAAGTAGTTGAGGGTGATTCCACGGAAGATTGTGCATTTTTTTTTAATGGAACAACATGTTTGTATTCCTATTCATCTTTTTGCCACAAAGATACAAAATGCACACCACAATTGATGACTTTTTTTCTGCCACCACCACATACGTCATGACTCAGTCCATTTCAGTGCAGAAACACAAAAACGTACCCATTGCATGTGACAGTTCAAATCAGACAACAAAAATAAACATTGTAATAAAGTGCACAAGATCCATATAGATGTTAACAAGTGTTAACATCAATATATATTAAAATAAGTAAAAAATTAAGATATTTTCTCTCACCAGTGTACAAATATGGTTGTTTTTTTCTCCTAAGACGTTTTTTTAGACAGACCAAACATTAAATTTTTTTTTAACTCAAATGCATTCAAATACTTATGTTGCATAGAATTACATTAAAAGAACAAATGAATATGGAATCAAATGTACAAAACAGAAGTCCAACAAATACAAGTGAAATAAAAAGTTGGCACGGGTAAATATTTATTAATGTTTAAAAATGGTCCCACCCGCATTAAACTTGATTGTATAGGTGACATCTTGCTCTTTGTGTGTTGTTTCCTAAAAGTTGCATCAGCCCCATTTTAAACCTAAATTTGCTGATATTTCTTTTCTTTTCTTTGATTTTGTTGGTTTGGTGGTAAAATACAGACAGACGAACATGAACAAGTACATGGACACGGGTCTTCTTGCATACACAATAATATCGAGACACGGCCCCCCTGCCCCCATGCGCTCTTCTGAATCATCGCCATGGCTGAACTCTTGGGCCTGAGAGAACATTTTGATCACAGGCAGTGAAAGATGCTGGTTCACTGTGTTTCACGGGAGTCACTGACACAAACGAAAAATGTTCAACTTTTTTTTTCACAGACACACAGAAGAACCTTGACAACTAACTAATTTATTTCTTTTTTTATCTTAATTTGAAAACGATTTCCACAGTCAAACTGAAATCAAAGGGATTCACAAATACACACAAAGCAGACCTGCCAATAATCAATGCGGTGGATCCACCTTTGGTTTTGACACGACTTGTTTTAAATTGCTCGTCCACAAAAACAGTGAAGGGCCTTAATAAAATATAGAGCTTTAAGCTCCTACAGCAACCTAAAAGTAAAAATGTCACACACATGACATAAATATAATGAGCCTTATTCCTAAATAGTTGTGACATTCAACACAGCATGTGCTTTGGGTGAAAGAGCACGAGATGCTGCTCATTCTTACTGGAATTCCAACTTGCCCGGAGATATAATGATATAATAATCTGTCCCTGGATGATGACACGACCTACGATCACAGCCCTGATCGACACAGAAGGTGCATCGGTGTGATCAGAGGCCTGAAGGAGCCACTGAATGTGATAATGACCATCCTTGAGCTCACATAGGTCCACATTCACCTAACAGTAAGGACTGCTTACTGGATTGTCAGTGCGCCACCCACAGCCTCAATCTTGCAAGAACTTTAGTCCGCCTCGTCTCATATATAATCTAGTTATAAGAGAACAAATCTGGTACTCTAGATATATTCTGCATAAGCTATATTTTTTTCATGTTTTACAAATATCACACTGTACAATTCTTTGATATGCTCTGTTATCTGCATGTGGGATATCTGCTGTACATTTAATCTTCATCCCATTGCAAAGGTCAACAGTCTTACTGAGTTCTCTTTAGGCTTTGTAATGTTTTATACTGTTTTATGAATAGAAAGTCTGTCATATGAATAAAATTATCCATTGTTTTGTTCTTTTTGTACACCAAAGCAATCCACATCCTTCATAATATAGACTCTCATAAAGATGACATGTTGCTTTTGATCATTCTCTTCTTTTTAATTATCTGTCTCTCTGAAAGATGTGATTGCTCAGCCGTGCAGCATCAAAACAAAGTCTCATATGGATTGTAGAATTTGAGCCATGGTAAGAGAAAACATGTTTGCCCTAAAGCCATATTGCTGTAGAGTACCTCTCAGTACCTGCCTTGGTATTTGCATGCTTGCATTCAAGCAGTCTGCAGAGAATCGACAAGGGAGACGGTGAATATGTGTGTTGGCAGTGTTAGACTGATAAACATGCAATGTTACTCTCATATTATTTCTTTTTTTAACCACTTAAAAACTCCATAAACAAAACACATCAATTTTTTTTTCAACTATTCTTTTGCCAGATCTCATCTCCGCATTCACTTTTACCGGTCTGCAGAAATTGCGTTTAGGGAATGGTCTGGTTGGGACTGGCAAACAGCTTGTGCCAGCTGACCACTCTCTTCCTCATGTCCACTTTGTCAAGCCAGATGTAAGCTTCCCCTATCAAGGTTTTCTTCAAAAACTTGCCACCATTAGACACCAAGAAAAGCTGGAAAGAAGTAGATGGGGGGGGGAAGGGGAGCAAAGCATTTGTCATTTTACTGTACACAACAGTGTCTTGTAAAGTTTATTAGTACACGACAATAAAAAAGTCAAAAAAAGTTTTGTGATTTGACAAAGTTTAAGTTTGGAAGTTTAACTGTAACCATGCTAACCTGTATGGAATGTCCCGTTGGATTGAGGGGGAATCTGAAGGTCTCATTAAAAGAAGGCTCTCTGTCATGGCGGCAAACTCTCGTCTTTTTCTTGATGATCCTTTTCTGAGTGGCGACGTTCACCACGTACAGCTTCACATACAGGTCTGTGGTTAGAAAAGTTCCAAGAGGGTTGAGCAGAAACATATTTAATGTCATTATAAGATAACATGACTGAAAATATTATAACACAATTTCATATCCATACTGAAAAAATTAATGCATATTCAGACAATCCAGGGATGGGCAACTGGCAGCCCATGGGTGAGTTTAACTTTTTATTTTGGTTTAATAAACATAAATACACAAACACTTTTAAAATGGCCATTTAATCACATATGGGTAAGTGTGGAGTGCTATGTGTCCCTCTTAGTGTGTCTTCTTACGTCATTTAAGCTGCCCATCCCTTAAATAATCAAAGAAACATGCAGAATTTCCTGACCTGGCAGGTGGTCTGGGGTTTTGAACTTGTACGTGATGTTTCTGCACTGAAGGATTTCCAAGACCAGCTGATCCCCCTCTGTCTTCACCTCTTTCTTAAGAGCAACCTTGATTTCACCTATTACTTGTGTTTTACCACCTAATAATAAAAGCAAAGAGAAAAGGAGTGATGTTTGTGACTTTCATGTCTTTAAATCTCCCTCTAAACCTTGCATTCGGTAACTGCAGGTGGAGTTGCCTAGTTGCACCTTAAAGTAATATGTACTGCTGTTACTAAAGCTATGGTAAATAATTTAACACATTTAAATCATCAAACTCGAGCCTTTTCAAGAATGAAAAGGTTTGAGGCCGTCGCTGAAGTTTCACACAGCTCTTATTGACTGTGACATGTCTGCAGCTAATTAGGCATAAGAGCTTTTACTCGACAAGCTGAGTAAAAAGCAGTAAAAGAGACAATCAGACACCATGGAAACAACCTCCTGACTATCGCCTGTGTAACAATAACCAGGCTATAGCCTTAATTGACCCTGAGCACTTTGTTACTAGACGAAATGGGAGATGGAGGGGAGGCACCGTGACACATGAGCTACATGAAATGCAGATATAGTTATGGCAATGAGTGAGATAGTGTGACAACCACTTCCCTCCCACAACGACAAGCCATGCACCGAGTCATTACTCAGAGTTAATTTGACAATAACTACTTAACTTAACATTTGACACAACAGTTTATTCTGAAAACCCAGTTTAATTGTGACTAAATGAGTAATGGAAAGTGATTTTGCACATTGTACTCTGCAGGGGGCAGCCTGCAACTGAGAAAGAAAAGAAACGGGGCTTGCCTTCATTCTCTGGGGTGATTTGTTGGTTTTTGTCTGTACCGTTAGGAATAGCTTTACCGCTGTAAAAAAAATTTAAATAAAAAAGAAAGAAAGAAACAAACAGTACTGCTGTAGTCACAAAGTACTGTGGGATTATGTTAAAGCACTGCTGGATGTACAGTGTGTTAAAAGGGGCATACTCACATGCGTGGGACTTGGAAAATGGCACTGTCCACTCCGATGCCCACCCCTTCCTCCCCATCCAGACCTCCATACGCATCTCCGACAAGGCTCGGGGCAGACAGGACCACTGACCCTGAGACATCGGCCAGCCTGTGTCCCAGTCCTGTGGGAGACAAGACAAAGTGGGATGCTGGGAGGCTGAGAATCAGTCAGGCAGCCAGTCCATTTTTTGTTTACATCTCTCTGTCTATCCATCATTTCAATGCATTTCCAATGACAAAGCACTTTTCAAAACACTCCAGCTGACACTTTCACCTTCAACCTTCACCAAGGTCAGTGTAGACGAAAGTGTTTTATTGCATTTAGCTGTGCAGAGAGTAACTAACCTCACTTAATACACAGTGGATATCTTCATTGGAGAACCACAAAGCTAACAAATCAAACAGAACTTAGTGTGCATTGATACAAATGCTCATTCTTTGATTTTATTGGTTGTTCTCAAACCATGGCTGCTGTTTTTGTTACACAGTAAGTAAAAAATGGAAGTGAAAAATGTAAAATTAGCAATGACTCTGAAGTATAAAAATAGAGGAAAACTACTAGAATAAACACTCTCAGACATTCACAAACTTAGAACTACTTTATATGGAAATTACTAAATGGAAAATAACTTTTTTTGCTTGTTTATTATCATCATAGTTCTCTGTTTGACAATTTTTTCTCAGCTACATTTTAAGATGTTGTTTTATGGCATTTTATATACAAAGCGTAGGATTTGTTATGTATACTGTAGGAATGCATATATGGAATAAACTTTTCCTATATCGTCTCACCTTCCCTCGAAAGCTCTGCTCCTCTCATGGTTAGCCGAAAGCTTTACTCTCATTGGCCCGTGAATGCAGAGTGAGACTCCTGTTGACTTTTGAAACTTCTCGGTGTTTCTGCGTTTCCTGGTTTGACTCGGTCAGTCTCACATTTGTGTCCCTTTTGCTTAAGGCAGTGGGGATGGGAAAGGACTGGGCAGGGTGGGAAGACTATGTGCCATAACTGAGTGTACCTGTGTGTGTCTTAGTTTTTTGTTACTTTTTTGGGGGGGAGTTCATTCATATGAGACATGCATATAGACAGCAGCAGTACTGCAGTACTCAGTACTCAGTGGCCAGGAGCAAGGAGTTATGTTACTGCATGCTTAAAATGCTCCATCAACTTATCTCAGAGAAGCATTGCAAACTGTTTACTTGATTAAAGGAAATAAGACTAAGGATTAAACAGGAATATTAATGGATGGCATTTTAATTATGTTAACATAGAAAAATAGACATCATGTGAGGGAAAGCCATTGGTTTCTACTCTGAGGATCAACACTGGGGCTCTGTAGAAACCATGTGCTGGGGATTTGCACATGCAGAATTCTTGCAGAAACAGAGGGGTCTGACCCGTTCTTTGGGGGCCAAAAATATAATTTTTTTTTTTTTTTTTTTTTAGTTTTCGCTGTGTTAGCAACTCAAAATGTTCTCTCATGATGTCGTCTATCATTGTATGTGATATTTAAATTATAAAAACAACTAATAAAAAACGCAAATACTTTTAACTGTTTTAAGCACAGGTTGTGTCATATTTTAAACATGCAATGTTAAAATAACTGAGGAAAAAAGTATCAGTAAATTTCAAACCTATTATATGTCCTGTTTTACTTCATCTGTTTTTGAATTTGCTTACAGTCGTTCTAAATTAGATGAATATTTAATAGGGTAAGATTAAAAAGCTAATATATTGTGGGCACAAGTTTAAATGTAAGCCGGAAAGGAGGTCAGTGCACTTCCAGATCAGGCTTTTAATCCCAACAAAACTTGCATGCACTGGAGGGGGAGGGATAAGGAAGCATGTCACAGGAAGCATGTCACGGGTAGGGGAAGGATTTACTTGGTTGCAGGCGGGATTGTTGCACGGCAGCCTCTGCGGCAGCAATGGCTATCCCAGCATCCTCAAGGTGGGCCTGAGTGACGCTGCTCTTGCTTTGACTTCGGGACGGGCCATGGGAGCGCAGCTGGCCATCAGATGAGGACTTAGAGCTGCCGGGACTGCTGTGTGACTTTTCCAAAGGCAACATTTGCATGTCTGGAAAAAAATAATAATAATTTTAAAAAATTGCATTACAGTTGAATGAAAATGTGGCTAATGCGTTTTCACGAGGTTATTTCAAAATAAAGCTTTCTTGTAAAAGTGCTCCCTGTGAACGGAAAATTCATAACACTAATTCAAGTTCATAGGTTTGATATTTATATAGTGGTTGATATTAGTCCTGTCAGAAATTCTTAGTAAATTTTGTAATAAGGACATTAAAATTCTTAGAGAAGTTAAGACTATTTCGTCCAGAAAGAACTCTGGTTAGCTACCTCATTTAAAACATGTGCATTTTTTGACCTTGCCTCTAAAAGGAAATGGAATCAGGAATCATTAGGACCATCCAAAGGACAAAGATAGTTGTGACAACTTTATTTTATTAACCATATAAAACAGGATTATGGAAGCCTGTTGAGAGTATTTATGTAGGTTTCATGGTTCAAACAATCCATCAACAAAGATTGAAGAGATAGCATTGAAGAGATAAAAAAAAATGGCAGGTTGGCGTTCCTGGATCGCGATGTCTCGGTTTCGGATGGAGGATGGTTGGAAACTGGCGTATATCGTAAGCCCACCCACACAGACCAATATTTGCGTTTTGACTCCCACCACCCACTGGAACACAAGTTAGGAGTGATCAGGACTCTGTACAACAGAGCAGACAGTGTCCCTACAAACCCAGGAGCCAAACAGAAAGAGAAATCACACACACGACAGGCCCTGGRGCAGTGTGGTTATCCTGACTGGGCTTTCCTGAAAGCAGACAGGAAACACAGACAGGATTCCATGCAACCTTCAGGTGAAAATGAAGACCCCARACCCAAACCAGTGGTTATTCCGTATGTTGCGGGTGTTTCGGAGAAACTGAGATGTTTATTTTCTAAACATGATGTCCCAGTGGCTTTCAAACCCCAAAACACATTACGGCAAAGGCTGGTTCACCCCAAAGATCCGGTTCCCCGGCACAAACAGAGCAATGTTGTATATGCTGTTAAGTGCCAGGAGGACTGCGACCAGTTATACATCGGGGAAACAAAGCAACCACTGTTCAAAAGAATGTCCCAACACAGACAAGCTACATCTAATGGCCAGAACTCTGCAGTTTTCACTCATTTACAGGCCAGCGGTCACTCTTTCAGAGATGAGGATGTTCTCATTCTTGATAGAGAGGAACGTTGGTTTGAGAGAGGAGTAAAAGAAGCCATTTTTGTGAAGAAAGACCGTCCATTATTAAACAGAGGTGGAGGCCTCCGTTTTCAGTTGTCCCCCTCCTAAAGCGCGGCTATTGCCAGTATCACTCCACCCCCTGTTAACAATAAAAGTGTTAATTAGGTGTCAACGATAGCCATGTGATGTGAGTATCAGTCACATGGAGGCAGGGCTTAAAAGTCTGAATTTTGCCTGAAACTCTCAGACTGAAGAAGTCTCTTGGAGGAGAGACGAAACGTTTCATTAGAGAAGAACCCGTCCAGAAGACCTTTACAATTTTTTTTCCTTTTGATTTTTTACCTGGATTACTGAGATGCATCAGGACATTGAAGAGATAGATTGTGAAGTGGAAATCATATCAGTGAGGCATTTTTTTTTTTACCTTTGCCTGGATCAGGGAATATCCCATGGCTTCTGCTCTTAATCACAGAGTTTTTGGGTGAATCCTGGCTGTCATCTCCCTGGCCTGGTGCTTGACCTGGACCCATCCCATGCCACGGTCCAGACCCAGATATGTGGCCCTGGCCGTGTCCCTGACCTGGCCCAGAACCTGGTGGAGCTTGGGCCGCGTGGTGGGCTCTGCTGTGTTCTATGCTTTCACTCTGCTCTTTTAAAGGCAGCCAGCGAGGAGTGTTGTCCAGCTGGGCTGTGTTTGACAAGTCGATCAGAACCTGAAACAATGCACACACAAAGTGACAATAAGTGATGACAAACGAATGACCCACAACTTCAAAACTGTGATTCAACAGGAAGTGTTATGATCTTCGGGGTTTTGTCAGGCCTTTGTTTTATCAGTGTTGATCATGTTTTGTAGATTTTTGTGCACCAGTTTTTTTGTTTGTTTCTTTCCTTTTTATAACCATGTTTCTGTTTTCATACTCTGTATTTTTGTTGCCTTATTTTTGTTTTACTCTTTCTACACCTCTGGGGGTGAGCACAAAAAGTTGTTTTAATTGCAGGAGCTGCAAATAAGAAGCAGCCATGAAAATAATTGTTTAAATTCTCTAAAATGCTGCATTACAGAGCATTAATGCTTCTCTCATAGCTCCTTTTGAACAACATGGAAATTAAACAATTCCTTTTTTATTAGCAGCGACCAAGAAATTAATCTACTTAATATGCACTTTTTGTTGAGTATTTTTACTAACTTAACACAACGTCTTGCATTTGAGCAATCAATTTTATCCAGCAAAAAACATCTAAGTGTCTCAAAACCAAATGTCTTGTAAACAAACTGATTTCAGATTCACAGAGTTGCCTTGTTGCAGTTTGAGTTGCACATATTTTAAAATGCTACATGAATTTTAATGTTTAGACAAAACAATATCAATTATTATTCAAGTTCATTTATTGTGAATACTTATTTTATTTTTATATTGTGCTTTTGCATCTCAAAAGGGTAAGAAAGTCACAATAAGCTGTTGATGCTGGTGTCGGCAGGCTCCATTTGCTCTATGGCTGCTGACTCCAGGATGCAGTGCACAGTGCCATGCTTGACTGTTGCAGTGTGCAGCTTTTATACACACCATCTACTTAGCCTCATGACATCATTATACTATACAGCAAATGAAAGACACAGATGACATTTTAAAATGCACTGCAAAACTGCTGACTGTATTCAAGTCAAGATTACCAACCCCAACTTATTACTTCACACATCATTCATTAAATTTTCCTTTTAGTTTTGACTTGATGATGGTTTTACCATTATTATTCCAGAGCTTGCTTTCAGGAATGCAGGATCTTTTGCTTTAACACATCACATATTAGCCACATCAAGAAGACAAGGAGAAGAGTTTGTTTGAAGGATGATAACAAGGGTTACTATAGTATTTATAAGCCTGTGCTTTACTTATTTCTTTAGGCACATCAAATAAAGCATGTTTTAAAATATTGTACAAATAAAAAAAGATTAACATTTTATCGCATCAAGAAAAAAAATAATTTAAGACAAAAACTTGAGATTTTGACATTTTCCAGAAGCGCTTACTTCTCCAAGAAAGTCATTGGAGGAAGATCTGTCATAGTCCCACACTGTTACCTCCAACGTCTTCTTCTTTAGCTTAATGGAGAGAGGAGAGAAAAAAACAACAACATTGTTTTACACAGCATCCTGCATGCATGTCAGACAAGAAAGTGTAAGTTTATAAGTATGATTTGGTGACGTGTGCAGAATAGATATGGTGAGAATAGTGTAAAATAACCTTATCAAAAAACTTGTGGTGTCCCAATGCCAGTTTTTTTTTACGGAGTATGAGTACAAGTACTTCAGTTTGGTTATTTGCCAATCCTTACTGAACCAAGTACTTACTGAGTTTGAACTTAAACGTTACACAATGACTTTAAAAACACATTTATTATCTTTAGAACAATGGTGGCTTTCCTTCCTTATAAGCCTACAGTCCCTTTGGCTTTATGGTAATTTCTGTTGCAAGATTTTAGAACAAAAACAAATAACAAATATTACTTTTTTTTAACATTACACAGTATGGTATTTAAAGAATGTAAAAACCAAGATAAGAATATGTTGGGAAATATGCAGTATGTGAGTGTTTGCACAGTACCTGTTCCAAATGGATGTTTTTGTAGATGACAGTCTGATTCCACTCTGGGTTTAAGGTCCTCTGGGCATACTTGGTCCTTCTCTTGTTATCAGCACTGATGATTTAGTTAGCATGGAAAGTCATCAGTAACACATCGCATTAAGATACGTAACTAGACACACCTTCATTCAGTCTTACTCTGCGGCAAATACTTACAGACCAAAATAAACTGATTAAATAAACTGAATTTGTAGATGCTTGTAATGGTTGATATCCAGATGTGAAATCATAAACAAGACATGTTTGATTTGTAGCTAGTGACTAAGATGCTGTTGCAAAATCAAAGTGAACTCATAGGTAGAAGGTGAAACCTGTCCATGGAGTTGAAAGAGTTGCAATGACACACGTGTTCTCACATACATTAAAATAAACCGGACAAACAACAAAGGCCACAACAAAAGGATGAAAAAACGTTCGATCTGAAAGCAAAATAAAATGTCAACTGAAAGCAAAGATCAGCACCACACTACCTTGCATTCTGGACAACCATGACTTGACTGAGGGAGCCCAGAAGAGGAAGAGGAGGGCAGATCACACAAACAAGAAAGAAAGAAAAACATACAAAAGAAAAACTGTCAGAGAAGCCCAGAGCGCTTAAAAAGCAGTTACGAATAGAAAGGTGAGGCAATCAACATTCTCAGAGAGGTGTTTTCTTCATTCCTGTGCCCAACTGATAGATGTGTGACAAGTTGAACATAAAATCAGCTGTTGAGGCACCTTGTATGAGCACTTTCCTGCTAACACCAATTAAATACATAAAAGATACCCTAATGAATGAAGCAGAGGAGCAAAAGTACTCTCAATGAGCTTTTTATTTCTAACCTGTGCTGCATGTAGGTCGAGAGGGACCATAATCTCATAAACAGACCTGATGGAGTCATTATCTAAGAACAGATATTGTTACAGAGCAGATAAAGGCTCTATCGATCCTCTCTCCAGCTATTCACACGCTCTCGGGAAGAGAGCGAGGCAGACGGGGATGAGAGGAGGAAGTCTGAAACACGGGGGGATACGTACTAAAAATATTCAGCTGAGTCAAAACTAAACCTAGCGGGAGAGATTTTGAGCAAATATAGGTAATCTGCCACGTTTTTTATGAAAAAAACTTGACAAAGGATCTGTAAATCCAAACCAAAGAATCAAATTGAATCAGATTTCATAAAAAAAAAAAAAAACTTAAAAAAAAAACTGCCCTCTGTCATTCTCTGAAACAAGCTGAAGGGGTTAGTGAGTGTTAAACAGCAGGGTTCATACAAAGTTATAAAAAACTTGGGGGACACAAAACGAGACAGGCACAGAAGCAGAAAGACAAAGACAGACATCGGTGGGCAGTAAGGCACGCTCAGAGCTCACCCTCTCCCTGGTAAAAGGTAGACCTTCACAAAAGGGTCAGAGTAACCGTCGTTGTCTCGGGGGGCCAGGTTTCTAGCCTGCAGGACGTGCACAATCAAATTTCCTAAGCTTCTGTCATAGTTTATCTGGAGCTGTGGGGAAATGAGTGAAGCGAAGGCAGAGTTAGAGAAAACCACACTGCACGAGTACATTTGTATTTTGTTGCAGCCTGATGCATAAAACCATGTGGCGATTTGTTTTTATAATGCTTTTACCTGAATCTCTCCTGTGATGGGATGAGCTGCTTTTATCATCTCTGTTGGCTGAAACAGCAGTAAAAACACTGTAAGTGCATGGTGAATGAGTTTTATTAGGTGTTTATCATTTATTCGTCCAGAGGACCTATACAATTTTTTTTCCTTTTTATCATTTATTGTTTATTTGCACACTGTTGTTTTAGAAGAGAAAATGTATTTCTTGATGTTTTATTTTTTAACAAAATTTAGCATAAAAGGTAAGGGAATTTATGTTTGGTAGGTTATTTTTTTGTTGTAACAATGCTTTTTGGCAATAATTGTAATAAATAAATAAATAAATAAATAAATAAATGAATGTTTGGGTCTATATGCAGTGGAACTGCAATGCTTTGGTCTGAATTCCTACTTATTGTAACTCCACAAGCCCCTCTTTCACTCCTTTTCTGCAGTGTCTCTCAAAACAACTCGTTTATTAAGGACACATACAATATTTTCTGTTTTTCTGTATTAAAAAATAAGCATTTGTGCATATGTTGCCCATTCCATTAATAAATAACTTTTGCTCCAATGAACATACACTACAGTGTTCGGTTTATTCATTCTCCGATGAACACCATATAACCATCACATCCACCCTTCTTTAGGGTTGTTTCACGAAATATAAATCAAACTCTAGGATCCAAAGTACATAATAATTCACACAGGATTGATCAGGCTCTGTTTAAAACTCATCTCATCTCTGCTGTGGGTAGAATGTCTGCAAGTAAAGGACGTACCAAATGAGTTATATTGATTTACCTTCTGACGCTGTTTCTTGTTGATGGCAGGAGAGGCTGGCTGGCCAGGGCTTGGGACCCCACTGGAGGCCGCTGACCCAGTGCCTGAGTGAAGGAGGGCAGAACGTTCCAATGCAGAGAGGACCCCCAAGCCCCCTGGTCCTGTCCCAACTATGTCAGGGCCTTGTTGCTCAGATACCTTTTGCAGCTCTGCAGCCAACTGCTTAGGATCTACACCAGGGGAACGCTGCCCACCTGTAAAAACAAACGTGAAAAAATAAATCACATTCTAAATATACATAGGTGCACAGATGCATGCAGAAAAACAAGTTTTTATACATACCAGCTTTTAGCTGGATATGATGCTCCAGAATTTGTGGATGTTCAGGGTCAGACAACATGTTAAGGTCACTGTTTCAATCCAAACACAAAGTGTGTTAAATAGATAATGGAATCACAACTAGTGTATTTTAGCAGTAATATGTCACAGAGGCATATTTTGGCAGCTGAAGGGGTGTGGAGTTCATGGGAGAAAAAGATGGGAGGGGAGAACAGGCACCTTATTGCAACTAAATAGGCAGAAATTTCAGAGAGACAGTGAGGTAAATGGTGACAGATGTTACTCACAGTCTCACACAGAGCTCCGCCTCTGCACATGGCTGACCCACAATGCACTGCACCTCTTCGTAAGTCTTTCCTGTTAGAGGGACTCCATTCCACTCCAACACCTGCATTCCTGTGAAATAGGCAAAAACGACAAAAGCGTGTTGCTGATAAAATTATCATCAGCCTATTGTTAAAACACATAATTCAGCATGAAATGTTTAGTTTTTACAGTCACACGACAAAACAACAAGCAAACCAAAATAGTAAAACCTTTGACTTTTTGAGTTTGCTTTGTATGTTAACTGTGCTTGGATATAGAATCACACAAACAGTAAAAATGCATGAGATGAGACGGTTGGCAGGTTTGTTGGCTCATACAATACAAAATCATTAGATGTTTAGTGTAAAAGCACTAAAATTGTCATAATCTTTGATTTCTGTTTGTTGTGTCTGACTTTTGTATTTTGATCTAATTTCACCACATTTTACTTTGTTTCCCTGTTTTATCAGCCAAGTTTGTGCATTATTGTCTTTGTGGACTGAATTTGCATCCAAGGTGACATCAGACCTTATCATTCTGATAACTGTTGGGTTCTGAGGCCCTACTGAACCCATTACACCTTTTGTTATGTTATTTGAACAATTCTTAAACTCTTTTTTGGTGTAGCCGCTTTGCTGTGAAAGAGCCCAGTTGGCATGTAGGCGGCTTGATTATCCTGCAAACTGTAGCAAGTTTAAAAGTAACTTTCATCTACAATCTTGATCCATGTTTTCTTTGCAAGAAGCTGAATTGCAACAAGATTTGTCATTTTCCTCATTTTATTTATCTGTGATACACCACTGCACCAAAAATCTAAAAAAAAAATGTTCAGGAGTAGGGACAAATACAAGGATATTCAAAAGCTTGTTGATTATGTATGATGTGTCTATGCTTTCTTTTGTGCATTTGTGTGTCTATAATGATGCTAAATATAGTCTAATGACTAACACAGCCTACTAATGTGGGGAGGAGTTTTCTGTTTGCATATGATGTGCCTGGGAAGAAAACATGACAAAGCAGCAGGCGTAGGCTTTAACAACCGTCTTTGTTTGAAATTAAATTTACATAAAAACATCTACTGAAAGTACTTACTGCACTTGAATTATAAGATGCTTAAAAGTTTATATATATACGCACACACACACACACACACACACACACACACACACACACACACACACACACACACACACCCTCAAGCTCCCAGGCCTCTGGTAGAGGACCCGAGCTCAGAGGA